GAGTATAGCCACCTGCAATATTGACTACAGTCACTGGCGCCCCCCCCAACCCCCCACTCCCCGCTCTGGGGTTCACTAGCTGAACCAAACCCACCAGTGGTCAGTACCTTCCTTAGAAAACATTTCTTGGGGGCTGGAGCGATAGCACAGCGGTTAGGGCATTTGCTTTGCACACGGCTGACACGGTTCGATTCCCAGAATTCCATATGGTCCCATGAGCACTGTCAGGAGTAATTCCTGAGTGCAGAGCCAGGAGTAACCCCTGTGCATTGCCAGGTGTGACCCAAAAAGCAAATTAATTAATTAATTAAATTTTAAAATAAAGAACAAACTTGCAGGCTATCGAATGTAGCCTGCCCACAGGGCAGAGTCTGGCAAACTCCCCGTGGCATACCAAATATGCCAGATACCAGTAACAATGATGGGTCTCATTCTCCTAAATAGCCTTGAATATAATCTCAGGGCTAGAATGAAAGAGACGTTACTGGGGCCTGCTCGAGGCAATCGACGAATAACAGGATGATGAAATGAAAAATGAAAAAAATAAAGAAAAGAAAACTTTTCTTCTCTAGTTCCTGTATTAACCTTTCCTCTGGGTCCTGGGCATTAATCCGGGATGAATTAGCACCATGTTGTCCTGCGAGGAGAAAGTCTGGAGAGGTTCTAGCATCTGTAAGGACCCTCTCAGCAGAAGATAAGAGGTGATGAATAATACCACACCCATCATATTAATATAGAGAACTGGCGTGGGAGGATGTGAGATCCAGACCTGGCAGTACTGGCGATTATTCCCTGCTCTGTGCTCAGTGGTCATCCTGGTAGTGTTTGGGGGGCCCATGAGGAATCCAGGATCAAGCCCAGGGCTTCTGCATCTGAAAGATGCTCTCAGACCTGCTGAGCTCTCTCAGCACCAGAGAAATTAGTAAGTCAACCAGAGCATGTGTTTTCTATTGCTGTAGAAGCACTCGCACATTAGTAGCTCAAAGTAACATCAGTGGGTGCTCTCTGTTCTGTAGGTCAGACACTCCATGTGGCTCTCCTTGGGCTAAAATCAGTGGTAGAAGAGTGTTCCTCAACCATAATGCCCAAAAGTAAAGAGAGAGAGAGAGAAAGAGAGAGAGAGAGAGAGAGAGAGACAAAATACAGAGCCACCAAATTGTTTCAGATTTATAGTTTCTGGACTGTGGGGTCACATATGTGGTTGTGCAGCACCTAAAAATTTCATAGTACTATCAGTCTAGTGGGATCACAGCAAATCTGATTGGAAGGTTGCATAGAATCCCACCAAGTTCAATGAATCTAAACAATAACATAGAGGCTCAACTAGCACTAACCAGCACAGTAGATCCTCAGACAATGACTTTAGTAACATCATTGTGAGATAGAACAATTATCACAAATTGACTCGTTTTGATCTAGGTTTTGATAATTCCATTCGTCTTTGTGTTGTAACAAATAGTAGAAAGTGAGTTTATGCGTGCCTGCAAGGGTGCAGGCTGGGATGGTGGGTGGGTAACTGGGGACACTGGTAGAGGGAAGGTCACAGTGGTGGTGGGATTGGTGTGAGAACATTGAATGCCTGAAATAACTGTATTGTGAACAACTTGGTTAATCATGGTGTTCTCATTAAAAAAATTGTTTAGGGGTCTGAAAGATAGTACAGCGGGAAGGGCGTTTGCCTTGCACACGGCCGACCTGGGTTTGATCCCCGGCATCCCATATGGTCCCCCAAGCACCACCAGGAGTAATTCCTGAGTGCAGAGTTAGGAGTAACCCCCGAGCATTGCTGGGTGTGACCCCAAAAAGCAAAAAAAATTGTTTAAATACCACCCCTAGACAGTGACTTATCAAAAGTGGTTATTTACTTTGCTCATGAACCTGGAGTTGGCAGGTCTCAGTTAGACAGTGGCCCCTGTGGGTGCCCCCATTGGTCTGTTCAAAGGACATGGAGGCTGCTCCTCTCTCCAGCTCCTTCACTGACTGGGCAGGGAGACACGAACTGGATCCAGTTCCAGTTGAATTAGATCAGCTGGATGAATTCATCTTGTGCCTGTCTGCCTCCCTCCCTCTCTCCAGCTCGCTGGCCTGTCCCTCTGTCTCTCTTCCTCCAACGCCTCCTCACTCCCCATGTCTCTTTGTCTCCTCTCTCTCCTCTCTCTGGCAGGTCAGAGGAGGGTCACACATCTCAGAAGGAGGTTAAAGTGCACAGAAGCACACAGAGGGAGCACTGCCCAGGACAAGCCAGGGGCCAGGAGCACCTGAGCCTTCTTCCCTCAGGCCTTGATAGGAAGAATGTGAAAGAATGAGTGCATGGTTCACAACTGCCATTCCAGAAGGGGAAGTCGATGCTAAAAATTAGAGAAATGCAGCTGGTGTAATAGTACAGCAGGTAGGGCACTTGCCTTGAATACAGTCAACCCAAGTTTGATCCCCGACACCCCAGGTGATCCCCCAAACACAGCCAGGAGTGATTCCTGAGCAGAGCCAGGAGTCAGCCCTGAGCACAACCAGGTGTGACCCCAAACAAACAAACAAACAAAATTAAAGAAAATGGAAAAATATAGTTCTCGTATGTGTTGTCTGTTTGGGTTTACTTTTGATGGGAGCAGTGCTGAGGGGCCACTAAAGGCATACCTAGTGGGTCTGGGGGAGCATGCAGCACTGGGAATTGAACCCAAGATTTCCCTGAAGCCGTCTCCTCACCTTCTCCTGGGACTTGAAGGTCTCTCTCCCAGCCTGGCCTCTCCTCTTCCCCTCTCTGCTTCCTGGGCGTGCCAGGCCCTTCCTCCCACTGCCTAGCCTTCATCTCTGCTTTCCCACAGCAGGAAATCGCTCCTCCAGACCCCGTGGAGGGGCAGAAAGGGGCAGCCCCCTTTCTGCCCTACCACATAGGCTGGCAGTGTCCTCAGGCTGTGTCTCCAGCGGCCTGGGGAACCTGAGCAGGGGGACACCAGGACACATACACTGACACACTCACACAATTGCACTCACACACTCATACAGACACTCTCATATAGACCATCACAGTTACACACTTATATACACACAATCATCTACACATATTCACATGCACATTCTCACACACAGAAATACATACACACATTCACATACTCATGTAACTCACACAATCACCTACACACATTCACATGCACATTCTCACACAGAAACACATACACACATTCACATATCATGTACACTCACACAATCACCTACACACATCACACACACACACGTTCACATACAACTCACTCACACACGCACTACTGGGAGCTGTCATTGGCCGAGGCCTCCCCCAGTGGCCGAGTGACTCATGTTTACTGCATCTGTCACCAGCCCCTCTTGGCTTAGTGTTCTACTCTCTTGCACACCAGGGATGAGGGGCGCCCCCTCCGCCATCCCCGGTGTTCTCAGTGTTGATGACAGTCCGCCAGCATCTGTGTGGGTTCGCTGTATCCCCAACCCCCAGGGGTATAACTGGGAGACTGTTTCACTGCTCCACAACACGGAACCCACGAGGCCTGAAGGCACTGCTATCCAGGAACCAAGGACCAGAGACTGAGCGGCATGTGGTGGAACAAAGCCAGCCATGAGATTGTGGCTGTGGTTGCGGCTGTGCCCCGGAAGCCGCAGCGCCAAAAGGGAGATGTCCTAAGCTGGACTCTGGCCAGAATGTGGCATTTCTGCACCCATTGTGGGACCAGTGCTGACCCCGGCCAGGTGTGGGAAGAGCCTCTGGTATGCTGGAGGTTCGCCTGCAACTCGTAAATGGGTGGTGAAGGTCCTTTTTTCACCCTTCTCCTCAGACTTGGGCTTCAACTTCCTGTCTGCTCCGGAGATTTTTTTTTGGGGGGGGGGTTGGGGGCCACACCTCTTGGGGCTCGAGGGTCACTACTGGCCGTGAGTGATGTATGGTGATGAGGGCACGCCGTGACCTCCACAGGCAGCAGTCAAGCATTCGATGTAGAAGCACACCCAGAGCCCAGGCCACCACATCTGCGCACTGTCCAGGACAAGGAGGTGGTGCCTGGCTTGTCTTCCAGGCCTGGGCCCTGCCTGAGTCCCCCACTCCCCATGCCTCCCCCTGGCCGCTTAGAACAGTCACACTCATCTGTTGTCACCCATGTCCGGTAGGGCAGGAGGCCCTTCCTGGACCTGGCAGGTCACCTGCCTCAAGCCCTCAGTGCGGGGAGCAGCAGCCAACCCAGGCTGGACCTTCCTAAGAACCACCCTTTAGATGAAGTCATTCAGGGGCAGGGGAAGAGCTCAACCGGTTGGGGCTGCGTGCCATGCTTACATGAGGCCCCTGTTCGATTCCCGGCACCCATGACCTCCCAAGCACTGCTATGTGTGGCCTGGGGGGTCTCTGAGCAGCAAGCAATCACCCAGTCAGCCCAACTGGTTGAGTGTCTCCAGTACCAACTAGCTCCCAGATGCCCTGAGATCAGCTGGGGGCCACCCCCCGGACAAAAAAAAAGTTCTTCATTCCCCCTAAATTCCCCCCCTCTGCCTATCCCCTCCAGGACGCTGAGCCAGAGGGGTAAAGTGGGCAAGGGACAGGCCCGGCCCTGTTCTTCCTGCCTGCCCCGCAAATGTGACTGTGTGCCATTTACCAGCCCCTTGGGGAATGTTTGGGGTGAGCTTCCCTGCCCAGCTTCTCCCCATTGCTCCATCACCACCCCTGTGACAGCCCGTTTCTGTCTGGAGACTGCTATTCAAGGCCTCCAAACCTCCAAACCCAGCCCTGAAGTGTAGCAAGGGGAGCGCTTGGTCAGCAACGCCCCTCCACCCCCCACCCCCACCCCGGCCACTCAGGATGGGCAGGAGCTGCTTCTGCCCTGCAGCTCTGAGACCCTGTGGCCGAGGGGTGCAAGGAGGCAGGTCCCCAAGAGACCCTGGGAGAGGTAGGGGCACCCACAAAACAGAGCATCACCAACAGTGTGACTTGAGGATTTCAGTTACAGCCCCACAGACATAGTCAGAAGCCAAGAAAATGCCAGAATTCAACTTGTTTCTTCCAAGAAGGTCTATATAGAGGCAAACCCATCCAACATGTTACACATAGCCGCACTGGGCCCACTTGAGGTCCATTAGTTTAAGAACAAGGCTCAGCACTTTTCACCAGCCCCAGGGGCTGGGAGATGCTTCAGGAAGAGGTCACAGGGGAGGCGACCCAGGGTAAGAAGTCAGCAGCTGAGGCCACAGCCCTCGCCCGGGACTCAGGGCAGGGAAGCAGCGACGTGAGCTGCCAGAAGCCTCCTGCCCAGCTCCAGCAAGAGCAGGCCCAGGCGTCCATGTTGCCCTCGGACTCCCCCACCGGCTGTGAGGCCAGGCCAGCCGGGGCCCTGGGACACTCCACGGCGGCCCCTCGGTCCTGCAGCTTGTCCAGGAACTCGGAGCTACCAGAGCTCCTTGCAGCCCCAGCGACCTGGCAGGTGGTGCAGCCGCATGTCCTCCTTCTGGATGTGCTCATAGCAGGACTGTGGGAGAGACACGGGGCTGAGGCCGGCGGGGTCCACAGGGACCCGGCACCCAGGGGTCCACTGTCACCTCCCTCACCCCTTTTTCCAGTGCAGGACCCTGGAGCGCGCCCCATAAGGGGTGCCTGGGGTGGGAGGCAGCGGTCTGCCCTGCACCCGGACCCCCTGCCCTGCCGAGCCCCTCACCTCCAGGGCAGTGAGCAGGAAGTCGTACAGGCCCCCCGTGTGGATGGGGTCCATCATGTCACGGATCAAATGGATCTCGGCTCCCAGATGCTGGATTCTGCAGAAGAGCCCATGAGAAGGGGCAGCCCAGCAGCCGGGCCTTGGGGCATCTGGGGCGTGTCCCCATCTCTGCTCCTGACACCCTCCCCTCTGTGGGCCTCAACTTCAGCCTTGGTGCACAGAAAAGCTGTGGCCCTGAGCCCTGAGGCCGAGGGAGGTTGGGATATATTGGAGGAATCCCAGCCCTGCACTCAGGGAGGTTGTGGTACACTGGGGCGACCCCCAGCCCTGAGCTCAGGGAGGCTGAAGTACACTGGGGGGACCCCGAACCCTGAGCTCAGGGAGGTTATGGTACACTGAGGGGACCCTGAGTTCTGAGCTCACGAACGTTGGGGTACATGGTGGCCCTGCAACACCCCCAGCCCTGAGGCTGAGGGAGCCTGGAGTATATTGGGGGGACCCCGAACCCTGAGCTCAGGGAGGTCGGGGTACACTGGGGGACCCCCAGCCCCGAGACTAAGGGAGACTGGGGTACAGTGGGGGGACCCTAGGCCCCAAGGATGAGGGAGGCTGGGGTACACTTGAAAGACCCCTAGCCCTGAGCTCAGGGAGGCTGGGGTTCACTGGGGGGCCCCCAGCCTCGAGGCTGAGGGAAACTGGGGTACACTAGGGGGCCCCAGCCCTGGGCTCAGGGAGGCCGGGGTATGCGGGGTCCCTGCAGCACCCCCAGCTCACCGGGCGCGCGACACCACGTAGATGAGTAAAGGCAGCAGGTCGTCCATGGGCAGTTTGTGCTCCTGGCCCAGCACCCGCGACACGGTGGCCTCGATTTCCCCATAGGTCCTCTCTAGCACCTCCAGCTTCTCCCGGGGGTCCACAGTGGTCCTGCAGCAAGGCAGCCCATTTCAGGCAGGGCCCTGGGGTTCCAAGTCCCAGCCGGGCGCCCTCCCGGGCATGTACTCACATGATCTTCTGCAGACACTCAGTGGCTGACAGGAAGCACTTGTCCCGCACCAGGGAGTGTCTCTGCGTGGAGGGGAGCAGAGCAGATGAGGACGTGTCAGCCCTCCGCTCCCTGCCTCCTCCTTCCCATGGACCCTCCCCTGACCCCCACTGCCCCATCACTGGCAGCTCTGCCGTGGGCCTCCACGCACCCACAGTGATGCGGGGAGTGGGCCCCAAGAAGCAATCACGGCGCCCACGGCGCCCACAGCCCCCGCGCGCCCATGTCAGAGGCTCTCAGACCCAAGGGCTTGTGAGAAACAAACTCTGGGTAAACGGCCCCCTCTCCAAGTTTCTGACTCACTCCAGGCTTTACCTGAGAACGACTGCTTTTCTAGGTACTGTTGCAGACACAGTAAAAAAATACCCACTCCTCGGCCAGCTCCCTCCTCCCGCCCACCCCACTGGAAGCACTGGAACCACAGCAGGGAGGCTCTTATAGCTGGGGAAACTGAGGCACAGAGACCAAATATCTTGCCCGTGATCATACAGCCAGAAAAAGGGTGGGCGCTATGTGTGAGGCTGGTCACTATCTGTCCCTGGAAGCAGTGTGAGGAGGTGGCTTCTCCCTCCCCCCCGCCCTACCACAGCCCACACCAGTTCCCCCCAGCAATCAGGAGGCAGAGAGTGCTCAGTCAGAGCTGAGACACCTGGGGTGCCCTGCTCAGGTCTGATTCTGGGGGGCAGGTCCCCGGTGGGCCCAGACTCTTACCTGATTGGTCGTCAGAGTGAGGTCCTTGAGGGGCCACAGGTGCCTGAAATGTAAGAAGTGAGACAGGAGGTAGGGGCATGGGAAGAGCAGGTCCTACCATCAGAGGGTCAATTCCGGGGCCACGGCCTGCCCCCTGAGGGCGGAGCGTAGGAACTGGCCACATGGGCATTCTGAGCACCCGCCCAAGACCCACCAAGGAGATACCAGAAGGGGCGCAAGCAGAAAGCAGTTCTTTTTTTTTTCTTTTTGGGTCACACCTGGCTATGCTCAGGGGTTACTCCTGGTTCATGCACCCAGGAACTACTCCTGGCCGTGCTCAGGGGACCATATGGGATGCTGGGGATCGAACCAGGGTCGGGTCGCGTGCAAGGCAAACGCCCTACCCGCTGTGCTATCACTCCAGCCCCAAAGCAGCCCTTCTTCCGGTCTGCAATCACAGGGACCTGGATGGGACACAGGGGCCACTGCATGAGCAAGTCCGGGGGGTCAGGCTGGAGAGGGTGCAGGGAGCACACACCCCTGAGGCTTGGGGAGCCATTGCGGGTGGGCAAGCAGGGATATCTGAGGGCGCCACATCTCGTGACATGGAAACTGTGGAGTGGGGAAGCGAGGGGGAAGTGGTCGGCCAGCCCGTCTCCAGGCTGGTGACTGGTCATTTTTTAAGTGGAAAAAGGATTTGGATGGGGGGGGGGAGGGAGGATGCACCCGTGCTGGGAGATAAAGGGGGCACTGGGCCACAGCTCAGAGGATGCAGTGTTGCAGCCCCGGCCCGGGACCACCCTGCTTTCTGTACGGAGGGCAGGCTGAGGGGTGCCAGCACACTCTGACCCCGGCGGGCGGGGCAGCCATACTTCTGCACGTCCAGGAACTCGAGCAGCTTGGTGTCGGGGAAGAGGCTGAGGCTGGCGATGCCCTGGCTGTAGCGCCCGTCCTCGCGCTCGTGCAGGAGCAGGTAGAGCGTGAAGAGCTCCGAGTAGAAGCTGGGCAGCACGAGAGGCAGCACGCATCTGTGCACTTGCTGGTCCCTGCGTGGGGGCCACAGAACAGGCGGGGTCACTCCTGTCCCGCAGAGCCCAGAGAGCCCCTTAGCCCCCCCCACACAGAGGACCCCCGGCCTCCACCTGCTAGTAACCCTCCCAGGCCCCTTCTCTCTGTCACATCCACGGCTCTGGTCTCTCCTTGTTCTCTCCTTTGACTCTGCCCATGTAGCCGGTGGGTCTGCACTTGCCCACGCGGCCAGTCAGCCTGCATCCGCACCCCCCATTTAATTGCAAGCAAACACCAGGGCACAGGGGCCATCATGGCTCACTGCAACGTGCTCAGCAACTGTCTTGCTCAGAGAATCCTGCCTCGTTTCTGGGCTCCCCAGGACTGCAGGGGAAGTGCTCCCCAATGTTCAGCCCCCTTTCCCACAGCCACACAAAAGCCTCTGCAGGGGCTGGAGCAATAGCACAGCGGGTAGGGTGTTCGCATTGCTCACAGCTGACCTGGGTTCAGTTCCCAGCATCCCACATGGTCCCCCAAGCACCACCAGGAGTAAATCCTAAGTGCATGAGCCAGGAGTAACCCCTGTGCAAAGCCGGGTGTGACCCCCGCCCCCCCAAAAAAAGGCCTCTGTGATCTTTGGGGCCTGGGGGAAGCCCCTTTAGCTCTTGCTCTGTGCGACCTCAGGTCCATCCCCAGAGGCCTGTTTCCCAAGTGTCCAGAGAGCAGGAGGGTATGGGGGCAGCTGCTCCCAAGAGGCCGACGCTGGAAAAAATAAGCAAAGATGCTTTTAACAGGGGAGGCAATGCCCTCTCCTGGGTTGCTTGAGAGACAAAGGTCAGAGGTCATCCTGGTCTTCAACCAGTCAATGACCAAAGTCTGGTCAATCACATGAACCCCCAGAAGCACTTATTTCCCCCAAGGAAGGCCATAGGAACAAAGGTTTGAGGCCTCCAGGGGTCTGAGATGGCTGCTCCAGGTGGGGGCCCTGTACCCGGGTGGGCACTGGGGGCCCAGGAACAGTCACCTTGTCTCTGCATCTTCTTCCTCCAGGACCTGGCCCTTGCGCCTCAGGGCGACTTGCAGCAGACTCCTGCAAGCCAAGGAGAGAGGTGGGCATGGGCCCACCAACCCCACCCCACCCATAACTCGAAGCTGAAGCTCTGTCCTCACCATCAACATCCCCACCTCCAGGGCCCAGAGACTCCACTCCCAGAATCATGGAGCCTAGAGCTCAGGGGTCAGCTGGGGGGACAGAAGTTAGCCTGGGACTCTCCACCCCACAAGTGCAGGACGGGACATGTGGAGGGCCTTTAGGTCACAGCTCAGCCAGCACTGGATATGGGGGTCCAGGGGCCAGACCAGGGCCTGGCTGGGACTTGAACTCTGGCTTCCTTTGGATCTTACCATCATCTCCCCCGACAGACACACACAGACACACACAGACACACAGACACACACACACATGACACACACACAGACACACAGACACACACACCCGCCAACCAGAGCTTCCAACTTAGTGGACCTACCACCTGTTTTTCAGGACAAAAATCACTCAGTGGTGCCCTGGAAATCTACCTTACTGGGGGAAAAGGCAGAAAGCACCCCCCAACTGTACCCCACCATCAACACCCCCACCTCCAGGGCCCAGAGACTCTACCCCCAGAATCATGGAGCCTAGACCTCAGGGGTCAGCTGAGGTCAGCTGGTCAACTGTACCTGAGGCGACTGCCGACCCCTGATCATCCCAGCCCCTGGATCAGTGTCACCTGCTCTGCTCTCACACACCACCGGCCCTCTGGGTGCCTTTCGCTCGGAGCAGAGGCAGCAGAGCCCTCCCACCCCGGGCACCCAAGAACAGAGTCCCAGCGAGCCCGGCTCACCTGTAGGCTGCCCAGAGCTCCCGGGCATGCTGCTTCACCTCCTCCTGGGCCAGCCCCTGCAGATGCTTGTTGGCCCCGATGCCTGCGTACGTGGCCTGGAAGGTCAGCATCAGGGTCCGGAGCAGCTTCCCCAGGGGGTGCAGCGAGTTGCCCAGAGCCTATGTGGAGACAACCAGGGGTTCAACACCATGTCCAGCAAGACGCCCAAGGTGTCTCCCAGAGCTCAGAGCAGTCTTCCCACATAGGGAACCCAGAGTCCCCTGCAGGCAGGGGGCAGCTATCCCTGGGCCTCACCTTCCTAAGCAACTGCTGCAGGGCCTCAGGCTCCCGGTGTTGCAGCAGCTCCTCTAGGAAGTCCTCCATCCTGCTTGCACTGTCCTCAGGGCAGGTTCTAGGGACAAAGCACACTCAGTCTCTACCCACACCCAGTCCAAGATGGTCTCTTCCAGATTTCCTCCAAGCCTACTCTGAGCCCCGGATGCACACATACAAGGGTGTACACGCACACATACATGCATACACATACATACATACATACATACACAGACACACAGACACACACACTCGTGTGCATGGACAACCAAGACTCACCGCTCGCAGCTCAGATACTCCTGAGACTGGCGCAGCTCCCTCGAGCTGGGCATGTGGAAGCCCAGCAGGGCCTCCTGCAGCTCCCCAGGGCAGCCGGCGCCCACAAAGTCCCGGAAGGGGCCATAGACGCCCTGCCAGCGGCTCTCCACAGGGAAGGCGCCCAGGCCCAGCTGCCTGCGAGGGAGAGGTTGGGAAGCAGCATGGATATAGGAGGGGTAGCGGTATTAGAGGCGAGGAGTGGGTAACCGGGACACACACCCAGCAAGGCCCAGAGCCAGGGCCCAGGAATGGTAGATCAAGGGACAAAGAGGTGTTAAGCAAAGAGAGGCAGAGAGGGAGGCAGAGAAGCTACTCCTTAGGGGAAGAGAGAGACAGATGCACAAAGAGGCCTGCAAAGGAAATAGGACATGGAGAGCAAAGTAACCACGACCCATGGTTCTGTTGCCACAGGCCTCTCTTGCCCCTCTTCCACTGCACTTCCTGCAGAGCAGGGACCTGCCATGGCCAGTGCAGGTAAGGCCTGCAGTCTAACAGCCCTGCCTCCTCCTCACACTCGGCCTGTCTGCCCGTCACCCCACTCAGGCCAGCCCTTGTGCTCTTGGGCTTTGCCATCTGCATCCAACTTCTGCTGTTGACCCAGGGATGATGGGTCAGGCAGTGAATACTGCCGCCTTCCCACATCTGAAATGCTGCTGAGGACCATTACAGTCACCTGCCACCTCACTCCCTCATCAGTGCAAAATGAGGTCTTCCCCCACAGGCTTGGCAAATCACCACCTGCACTGGTCTTCCGAAGAAGAGCTTTGTCCCCAGAGGGTAGAATTCTATCCTCCCACACCTCACACGTGGAGTGCTTCCTTCCCCACTGGGGCTGCTGGGGAGCTCAGAGCCAAGCGAAAGCTCAGCTGTCACCACGGCAGGGCCCAGAGACAACTCAATTTCTTTCCTTCTTTCTTTTTTTTTCCTTTTTGGCTTTTGGATCTCACCTGGTGGTGCTCAGGACTTGTTCCTGGCCTTGCACTCGGGGATCACTCTAGGTAGTCCTTGGGAACCAGATGGCCTGGGATCGAACCCAGTTAGCCACGTGCATGGCCAATGATCTACCCACTGTGCTCTCTCTAGCCTATCACCTCTCTTTTTTTTTTAAATTTTTCTTCCTGGGTCACACATGGTGATGCACAGGGGTTATTCCTGGCTCACGCACTCAGGAATTCCTCCTGGCGGTGCTCGGGGAACCATATGGGACACTGGGAATCGAACCTGAGTCGGCCACATGCAAGGCAAACGCCCTACCCACTGTGCTATCGCTCCAGCTCCTCTTTCTTTTAAACCCATGCCAAGCTTTTTATTTTTTACTTCATTCTTATTTATTTTCCTGGGGTTCTAAATGGTTTTCTACATGTCCTAGAAAAATGCGGGGTCTAATCAAGGCCTCCAAGCTTTTCTCTACTCCGAGGCAGGTGAGCTGCTGCCCTAGTCTGACCATCTCTGCCCTGTGGGTCAGGTGTCCTGGGTTCTCTCCGTTCTCCCAAGAGCTCAGAGCAGGTACTGAGAAGGCCATCTGATGAGGCCTGAAGTGGAGACGGGGGTAGCCTTGGGAGCTCACGGCCTTACCTCTTGCTGATGCCGCTGGGGTCGGGCGGGAGGGCGGCCATGTCCAGCACTCCCTGAGTATGCAGTCCTCTCCCTGACCCACTGTCGAAGGAGCCCTCCAGGGTGAAGCCATTGGGGAAAGTCACCTTGCCCTGGAGGGCGAAACGGGGCAGTGAGTCTGGCCACTATCTCTGTCCAGCTGTCCTCCCAGCTGCTCGTGGCTCCAGCTCCCAGAGCCAGCCACTGATCAGTGCCCTGTACCCCCCATCAACCCCACCTGAAGGGGCTCCTAATGCTCTATCCCTGTAGGACCCCCACCAACAGCCATATTCCTGCGGCCCAGGGTCTCATCCTGGAGGGAGGAGATGGGCAGAGAGGGAGGTGACCCACAAGAGGCAGGGGGAGAACCCATTATGGGGGCTCATCCAGAGGTTGGCAGTGGCCTAGGGCAGGCAGGTCCCGGACTCTCCCCAAGATGCCCCGTGCCCAGTGTCACTGCCACAGGGGAAGTCTCCTGCCCAGACTGTCCAGCCTTCTGTGGGGACAGCTCAGGGCATATGCACACAGGAGAGGGAGTCAGGGGGTGGTGGTGAAAGGTGGGGTGAACACTGCCACAGTTCAGTCTGCCCCCAGGCACGCTCCTGGCTCACATGCAGCGGGAGAGGATCACCTTCCCTTCACACATGGCCACACCCCCAAGTCCCAGGCACCGTGACAGGTGGCAGCTGAGGTCCTAGAAGGCAGCAGTACCCTCACCTTCCCCGTGAGGCTCAGGTCCCTGGTGAAGGTGCCCTCGTACAGGGAGTCATCTTCAGAGAGGAGGACGCCTGTGCCCTGGGAAGGAGGCCAGGAGAGCAGGCGGGTGGGGGTTACGAAGGGCCGGAGACCAGGGCTGGGGGAAGGGGAAGTAGGGGCACAGATCCAGGGGCGTCCCCAGGACTGTGGGGAGCGCTGATCCAGGGGTAACTCTGGGTATTGGGTGGAGGCATTGATCCAGGGTGGGGTGACTGGCCCAGGTGTGCCTTCTCTCTTTTTTTTTTTTTTTTTTGCTTTTTGGATCACACCTGGCAATGCACAGGGGTTCCTCCTGGCTCTTCACTCAGGAATTACTCCTAGCGGTGCTCGGGGGACCATATCGGATGCTGGGAGTCGAACCCGGGTCTGCCGCATGCAAGGCAAACGCCCTACCCACTGTGCTATCGCTTCAGCCCCTGCCCTCTCTTTCTCAGCAGCTTCTCTCAGAAAGCTTCCTGGGAACCCACTTCCCCTTCCGGAGGTCAGGAGGTGCTGACCTGGCAGGGCAGAGCAGTGGAACCAATCTGGCTCCCGTGTTGTGCGGCTACCAGGAAGCTCACCACTGAGCAGAATACTGTCTGAGCCCCACCGAGTTCTAAGCTGCCTGCCCCTCCTCGGCGCCAGGGCATGCCCATGCTCAGAGCACTTGCCTGTGAGTCTCAGCTCTGTCTGTCAGTCTCATGAGACACGGGCTGTTCTCTGAGTCTAGGAGTTACACTTGTCACCCCTACACTGGGGGTGATGCAGGACCCACGGGGCTCCTGGGGCAGTTCCTAGGAACCATGCTGGGTGGCCAAGTGTATCCCTGAGGCTGCTATGTCATACTTTGACTCTTTACAATAAGCCAATTGCCTGGATTGCGGATAGGGAAACTGAGGCTGGGAGGAGCAGGCCTTGGCCAAGACCATAGAGGGTGAGTCAGAGAACAAGATTCCTGCTCGGGTTCTGGCTCCTTCCAGCGCCGGGGACCCCAGCTTCCTGCCCCATCCACCCTGCCTCTGCTGAGCTTATGGGGGCTCCAGAATGCCAGTCGTGGTACAGGGAGGGGGAGTCATCCAGAACACATGGGGTTTCCCCACTCACCACCATCTTATCTGCCTGGAAGGTGCCCTGGTAGCAGACGCCAGCCTGGGTGACCATGACGCCGGGGCCGTGGCGCTGGTCAACTTGCCACATGCCAATATAGCGCTCGCCCCTGGGGGAGGGAGAGCGTGGCCAGTTGAGTCAGAATCGCCCCCATACGCCTCCCATGTGCTCTGCTGGCATGGGAGGAGGCGGAAGGGGCATTGCCATGGCCTGGATCCGCTGGACTCGGACCCCTGGGAGGAACAGGGTGGGGGTGGGGGGTGCACACTGGGAAGGGTGAGGAGGGGAGTGCCACGCACACGCATGCAGATCAGAGAGTGGGTGGTGAATGGTAGGTCTGTGGGGATGCGCTGGAGACTAGAAGAGCAGAGGAGGCCCTGGCCACATGGGGTGGGCGTGACCAGAGGCGGGGCCCTGGAGTCAGCCACTGAGACCTTTGGGGAGACCTGATGTGGGTCCAGGTGTGGGTCCGACCCTTCTCTCAGTGCAGGTGAGGGCCCTGAGGATCACAGAGCTCCTCCATTGAGGAGCCGGGGTCCCTCCAACTGAGATTCCCCAGATTTGCGAGGACAGGAAGTGAGGGGCTTCACCCCAGGCAGCAGGGCAGAGACTGGTGGGTGTGGGAGGCTCTGTCTGCCCACCCGCACTCACCTGTGCCCGTCCTCCTCCACGCCATAGCCGCTCCTCTGGCCTCTCTCCCAGTGGCCTGTGTACCTGTGGGGCTCAGGGGACTGGGGGGCGCTCTCCAGAACCCCGAAGCCGTGCCTCAGGCCCTCTCGGAAGTAGCCCTTGTACACCTCATCAGTGCTGTACCTGGGGGCACGGAGACTGGCACTGCCTCACAGAGCTCATTCCTGGGCGGCCCGACCCCAAGCAGGCCAGGGTGCACTTACTCACAGATGCCATAGCCGTCCATGCTGCCCTCCCGCCAGTGGCACTTGTAACAGTCAAACTTGTCCTCGGAGGCCTGGGGCACCAGGCGGATGCCAAAGCTGTGGGTGGGTGGGCAGGGTGGGAGGCAGTACCAGGACATTGCTCTGACCCGACCGCCTCCCAACCCCACGGACCCTCCTCCAATCCCAACACACACGCCAGCAATTGCCCAGCCTTACCCATGCTCCAGGCCCCGGCAGAAGTCCCCCACATGGTTCCGCCCATCCGGCCACTTTAGGGTGCCCCTGAAAGATAGTCGACCCGCAGGACTCACCCCTCAACACTCAGACCTCAGACTCGCCTGATGCAGCTCCTCACCTCTGAGCCGTAAGACCGGAGTGGTGTAGGGAGGCGCCTCACCCCTGGCACAAGTGTCCTGGCAGCCTGAGGGGGCACACACTGCCTGCCATGGGGAGAGCCCTAGAAACATCCAAGGTCCCTCTCCCCTCTGGCCTGCAGGAAGCTCAGGCTCAAGCCAATATCCTGCAAGCCAGTGCTGCCCTGCTCCTGACCTGGGCATGTTGCATGCTCTCACCCACAGACTCCCCAAGCCCATTCTGGGTGGTTTGGAAATGAATGAGTGTGCTTGGAGGCAGAACCTTGGCCAGCTCCTGAACTGCCCAGGCCTTGGTTTCCCCCAAAGCACAGGCTGAGGGGTTGTGAAGAACAGCCATCGAGGCCAGCCTCTGCCTGTCACTTGTCCTGGGGCCTCGGGAGAGCTGTGCTGGTCTCTGGGCTTCAACTCACTGCCTGTGCACTCGGGAGAGGACGAAAGGAGACAGAATGTCTGTGCCGTTCCCACGGTGCCAGAAATGCTGCCTACACAGCAGAAATACTCCCCTCCCTCCTTCCGGAGACCCCCAGGAAGCAGCTGCTTTGGCCCAGCCACCAGGTAGCACCATCAAAGCCACTGGGGATGCCCACCTCACCCCACCCACAGCACCCATTCTCCCAGCGGTGCCTGCCATGACCCCCATGCAGCCATCACTCACTTGCCGTGGGGTTTGCCCTGGCACCATTCTCCCTCGTAGGTGGCCTGGCAGAGTCGGCCCTCAGCACGGAAGGTATAGGGCACACAGCGACAGACAGGTGCCTCGGGGGGCTCCACACCTGCCCCCCGCACCAGGAAGTCCTTCTGCCCACATAGAGCCTGGCATACAGCCTGGGTCACCTTCCACTGCCAGGCTGCCTGAAGGGGACAGAAAGGTTGCTGGCACTGGAAGTAACCCCTCTAAGAAACTTTCTGGGGTGGTTTTGAAACCTTGAGGACCACCCCTCCTCTCCCCAACCCCTGTGTCCCTTGGGGGGACAGCCCGCTACTCCATAGGGCCTCCATCCAGGCCTAAGATCCTAGTCTGCCATTTCCAAGGGGCCACACGGGATCGCCGGGTCCCCAATACTGGCTTCCCTACTGCAGTACTTGTGGTAGGCTGAGGCCTGACCCCAAGGCCAATCCTGGTTCTCTCCAACCAACCCAGACCCTGGTCCCCAGCACCCTCCAGGATGGAAGCCTTGCAGCTCCCACCCGGCTCCCATGGCCTCCCTGAGCTCCCCTGACCCCATTTCACGGTCCGCACCTGGCCCTGTGGGTCCTTGGCCTGGAAGAAGAACTCTTCCTCGGGCGTGAGGAGGTGGAGCGTGTGCCTAGACAGACAGACATGAGGGAAGGCCCCACCTCGGCAGGTGGGGGGCAGGGAGAGCGTGCTGGAGACTGGACTGGGAGTCGGAGGTCAGAGCAGGGGGTTGCTCACCGGTCCGGCCCAGGATCCACCCACACCAGCTTCAGGTCAAAGGAGTGGACATGGTGGCCCTGGAGGAAGGGACGCAGGCGTCATCCGGAGACAGTCCTGGCTGAGAGCCACGAGGGGCCCCTCTCCCCATACCCGGCCCATCAGAGCCACCAGAGGGGTCTTCTGGCAATTGCCAGTGGCCCCATCAGCCCTGCAGATAAATGCTTTGCAGCTCCTCCTGAACCCTCCCCCCCACCAACAAAGCCCCCAAACCACACTGTCCTCACCCTCCTGCCTTCCAGCTTGGCCCCCCGGCTCCCCTCTGCCTACATCTGGGCCCTGATCCTCCCTCAGCCTGGGATGCCTGAACCAGCCCCATTGGACCAACACACGGGACATCCCTCCTTCTCGAAGGGTCTGTGGAACCACTTTCCAGCTGCTTATGTCTTTCCCCTCCTTCTACCAGATTCCAGCCCCTCGCCACCCCCTGCCACAGTGCCAGGACCTATGTTAGCCGCTCACAGACCTGCAGGAGGACGAGGGCATCGTGGAAGAGCAGCACACGGTCCACCCGCAGCGGGCTGACAGCCACCGGCACTTCATGGCTGTCCTGCAGGAGTCGGCGAGTGGGACTGTACAGGGCTTCCTGGGGGCGAGGGTGGAGCTCAGCACGCCTGTCCTGGCCCTTCCGGCCTGCTGCCCCTAGCTCTGTCCCCTTCACCCCTCCTGGAGCCTACTCTGGTCAGTGCTGGGTCCAGAGGGCCACTGCCAGCCACTCCCACAGGACAGCCCTCCCAAAGTGTCCCTCCTCCTCCCACCCCACCAGAGTCAGGAACAGGCTTCTGGCTCTTACCAGGGCACTGCCACCCTTGCCTCTCTGTCAACTCTTATCCCTGTCACCTATTCTAATTATGCCCTTGGGCCTGAGCTGGCATTCTCTCGGGGCACTAACGACATCCCTCCTGGGGGCAGCACCTGCCAAAGGGCTTGGGGCAGGGGGGAGGGCATGACTCCAGGTGACATCCCTGCTGACTGCTCATGGCCAGCCCCAGAAGTGCTCAGCAAAGGAAGGAGGATGGCCTGATGGACCTCCAGCCACCTGGCCCAGGTCACACCCTCTACCCCTTCTGGGTGGGGAAACCGAGGCAGGGAGCATCTGTAAGGCAAGCAGTTCCAAGCACCCCACAGCCCCACAGAAACGCCTTCCCACTGCCCCTCAGGTCACTGACTTGCCCTTTATTTTCCCTGTTCAAAGCCTACTTGTCATTTTTTTTAAAAAAAAAATTTAACGAAACATTGTGAGATACAATTACAGACTTCATACTTATGTTTCAGTCATACAATGGTCGAGTACCCATTCCTCCACCACTGCCCATTCTCCACCACCGTTCCCAGTATCCCTCCCACCACCTCCCCCCACCTCTGTGGCAGACACATTCCCTCTTACTCTCTCTCCCCTTTTGGGTGTTGTGGTTTGCAATACAGGTATTAAGTGGCCATCAGGTTTGGTCCATAGCCTACTTTCAGCACGCAACTCCCATTCCAAGCAAGCCCTCCAAGCATCCTTTGCTTGGTGGAATGACTCACCCTTGCCCGGCTGCTCAGTGTGGGCCAGAGGGTCTGTGTGGCCACAGCCTGGTCCAGCGCCTGCCTCATGAAGGACTGGAGGTTCCCGAAGGCGGTGGCCGCATGTACCACCCACTCACGGGCCGGGTTACACTGCGGGGAGGGCCAGGAACGGCCACTTGTCAGGAGGTGGGGGCTGAGCCCCTCTGCTCCGCTCTCCTTGCGGGAGGGGCTCCCCAGCTGGGTCTCTGGTCTGTGTTCCCACCCCCGGGGCTCCACCAGGAGAGCTGTGTGTCTGAGACCCACCGCCCAGGACACTGCTCTGTGTCTGCTCTGCCCGGGGCTCCTCCTACCCCCCAAGGCAGGGACTGATCTTTTCAAAACTGGGTTCTCCTCCAAGAAAGCTGGAGGCCTGCCTGTATCTAGGACCCCACTCACTCTGCTCTTCCCACCTCTGGGACCCTGCTTCCTCTCCCTGAAATGGTTGGACCAGCCCCACTGGACCAACACACTGACTGAAGCGCCCCTCCTCCCCCCAGCCCGGCCCCCAGGGGCCCCCTGCACGGCTGCCTACCTCCTCGATGGTGTCCCCAAGGCTGAGCAGAAGCAGGACGTACTGTTGCACGTGGTGGCTGAGAGGCTGGCGCAGGGCCTGCAGCAGGGCCGAGCCCACAGGACCCTCCGAGCTGCCGCTCCCACACGCCAGCTGCCGCAGCATCTTCCGCTGGCCCCGCCAGAGCTGGCTGTGGGGAGGAGCAGAGACCCCTCACTCCCCGACTCCCCGAAGCCCAGGTCTGGCCGGCACAGGGAGGCTCAGTACAGCAGCTCATTGGGGGCTGGATGGGTGTGGTTGCAGCCCCTTCCCCAGCAGGAGTATCTACCCCCCACCTCCCATATGTGGTTGTGGGGCTTCTGCTCTGCCTCTTTCCCGAGCTGGATCCGTGGGGCGTGGTCTAGAGGGGGACACTGGCACCCGCCGTCTCTCGAGACCCCACAGCGAGGCCCCACAGCGGCCCGTGCTCACCTCCTCCTCTTGGCTGTCTTCTGGAAGGCCTGGGCTACCACGCAGTTTGTGTAGGCATTGATGTACCTGCAGTGGGCACCAGACACCCTCAGGCCAGCCCCGGCCAAGATCCCAGCCCCTCCGCTTCTGCTCCCTGTGTGGTGGGCTCCCACTGGGCCACTTTCCCTTGCCAGGACTCAGGTCTGGGTGTCTGGGCCTTTCCCTGTCCTCCATGGCCCAGCCCACAGAGGCCACTCTGGGACAGAATCCCACCCTCTGTTGGCTGGGCCCCCCAGTGCCCACAGAGCCCCAGAATCCCCTGCCCCGCAGTCTTACTCCACGTGGACCTGCAGGATGCGGTCAGCTCTGCGCAGCAGGGGCAGGGACTCGAGGGCGTTGGTGGCTGGGCATTGTAGCCGCTCCCGCAGTGCATGCAGGCTCTCCTCCGTCACCTCCCAGAGCTGCTGTGCGCTCTGGTACAGCTGTTGCAGCAGCTGCAGACATTCTCTGCCCGCTGGGTCCGAGGGCTCTGGGGCTGGGCAGCCGAGCAAGCACTCAGTGAGGTTGAGCGAGGGCCAGTCGGGCTACTCTCGCTCCCCGGGGGCCTGTGAGACCCTTCAGCCCTGGAGCCGCAGACAGCCTCTGCATCCCTGCAGTGTGTGGGTCTGGACGGGAGCTTAGACAGGACGGGCTGGAGTGGCTAGGGTACCGTACATGAGGGTCCTTAGCCCGTCCTAAGCAGGGCCAGGTACACTACATCTCCCCATTTCTGGGCATCCATGAGACTGGAAGGTGGAGTCCCTGGGGTCCCAGAGTCCCTTGTCATTCACACAGGCATGACAGATTACTGAGAAGGGACCTGCCCACGGTCCCTTGAGTCACAGGTGAAATCCATATTGAAAGGAAGCAATTAGGAGGGTGGGGAGGACACTTGCCTTGCCCGCGGCAGACCCAGGTTCAATCCCTGGCACCCTATGTGGCCGCCCAAGTCCCTCCCAGAGTGAAACCTGAGCATGGAGCCAGGAGTGAGCCCTGAGCACTGACAGGGGTGTCACCCGGCACCTTCCCAAGACACAGGGCCGCCTCACTAGCTCTCAAGATTCAAACTTGAGCAGAGCACCCTGAGGCCTGTGCCCTGGGAGGGAGGCACTGCATGTGTGCTAGAACAGGACCCGGGGCTTGGCCCCTGGGGATGCCCTTGATGGGAGCAGCGGGAGCATCAGAAGCAGCTGCTACCCCATGTCTCCGGCCCTCCTTGAGGCTGGGAGCTGAGAGAGCCACAGATCAGATGGTCTGATGGAGCTGACCTGTCCTCAGGGCCTGCCTGGGCCCCTCCCCTCCGCTCTGCAGAGCCCACACTCACCAGCCGTGAGCAGGGGCTGGAGGACGAGGTTGTTGATGCGGGAGAGGGTGGCTGAGAAGACTTCCTCCAGCCGCAAAAGGGCCGTCTCCTGGGGGCTGCACATGGCGTAAGGCTCGGGGCCTGCAGAGGCGAGAGGACACAGGTCAGTGCCCCCCTCAGGCCCAGAAATAAGGGCCACCTCGGCATGGAAATCGCACAGTGATCCCAGGTTACTTCGCCAGGGAGATTCCGGGCAGGCCTCAGAGCCCTGCCGCCACTGCCCGCCTGGTGAAAAGGAGCCTAAAGGAGGCTCAGGACCACTGTCCATTCAGAAAGCAGGTGCTCAGCCCAGCCCTGGTCCACACCTCCTCCTGCTCCCAACACCCACCACAGTGCCCAAGGGTTCAGAGTAGTGTCCAGTGGCGCTCTGACCAGGCCCTCTGCTTCGTGACCCTGGAAACAAGCTCAGGACACCCTATGGCCCTAGAGGCTGTAAGCAAGGAAAGGTCTGGAGCCAGGAAGGAGGCACAGGAAGGAAAGAAGTGGGCAAGTGGACAAGGCTTAGAGCAGTGGCTCACGGGCCTGAGGGCCCAGGTTCCATGAATATCCACCACAAGTGCCTGAGTGCAGAGCGGAGAAATCACAGAAGAATGGGGGGACTTGAACTCAGAGCTAGGGAGAAGGCCTGGGTGAAAAAAGTGGGAGAGGGGAATGGGTGGTCAGCATGGCACAGCCTCTGTGACCCCGCATGCAGGCCCCATTCAGCACATGGACGCCATCAGGGGCCGATAGGCCAGAGCCGTGGGCTTCCTGCTGGAGTAACCCTCCCAGGGCGAGCCAGGCAGGCAGTGTGGCCTCCTGACCACCGAGCACGGAAGCTGGGGGCCTGGGCTCAAACCCAACCTCCACAGTCAGGGCAATTGGAGCCTCTAGTCTGACACGGCCCCTGAGCACCATCCCCATGCAGGTGTCCAGATGCCTCAGGCCTGAGAGTTAGAAGGTTTCTTAGTCCATGAGCCGTGAACTCTGCCTCTCCTGAACTGTCACCTCTCGGCTGGACTGAAGACAAAACCAAAACAGCCAAGGATTGGCGAAGAACCCAGGTAGGCCTAAGGGGCCAAAGAGGAAGGGGCCCAGCCTTCCATCCCACCTTGAGGCAGCCACAAGGCATCCGGGACCCCAGGCAGAGTCCCTGCCTCCCGGGGAAGGGCCGGGCTCAGAGAGAGGCACAACGGGCCAGAGCCTGAGTGCTCTCTAGCCAAAGGCCGGCCCAGGCATTCCAGCCCCACCTTTCCTGCTGCTGAGACTCCAGGAGGGAGAGGCCTGCGGAGGGAGGGGCAGGAAGGGGAAGCGGCTAGGGACAGCGGCCTTCTCGCCCGCTGGGCCCTGCCACCCACCCCAGGCCCTGCTCTTGGGCTGAGGGGACAGGCTGGTCCAGTTCAGTGAAGGGGTCGGGGTGCAGGCGGCCAGTGTGAGCTGGGCCCACCCCATGGTACCCAGAGCTCAGAGAGCGCTGCACTGTAAAGACCTTTTCAGGGTGACTCTCCCCCAGTAGCTGGCAATCAGCAGGGGGTCTAGGCTGAAAGGAAGGACCTTAGAGGGAGGAGGGTGGGGTCCAGATGGGAGGTGTGATGAGGACCCAGACAGGAGAGCCAGGGGGAACTTGCAGAAGTAAACACCCGACTCTGGGGAACCTTTGGCAACCCCCACATTCACCTGGGGACCAGGTAGCCCACCTGCAGCCAATGCTCCCCCCAACAAGCTCCACCTCAAGCCCCTCTCCCCCGTGCGTGTCTCACCTGGACACACTGTCCATTCCCCAGGCAATCCCACAGGACTCTGTCTGGCCTCCGGCTCAGCTGTCCAACCCTGGCATACCCATCACCCTCCTCCTCTCTGAGCCTTGTCACCTCCCCTAAGAAGTGGGGACCAAGTCCACGAAGGGGGACAGAACCTTTGAAATCAGTTTCCTCGAAAAAGCAGGAACTGGTGGAGGGGAGCTATTCCAGGCAGGGGGCCCTGGTCCTCTGCCTGACTCGAGGCAGGACTCCCTAGCCTGGGGCCCCAAAGTGATCTGTAACTCTAGCACACAGTCACAGTGGCTGCGAGGGGCAAGAGTGTGGGACAGAGGTGAGGCCGAGGGGCGGGAGTGTGACAGAGGTGAGACCGTGCGTATGTGTATATAGGGGGCGGGGGGAGGAGGTGCTGAGCGTGAACTTGGTGGTGGGGAGGGTCACGTATGAATCCGCTCTCAAACCACAGAGCTCTGCTCACAGGCACAGTCTCTTTACCTCTCCTCCACCTGGTTCAAAGTCCCTCAGTAAGAGTCTACATAGGATGCACGTATGGGGAAACTGAGGCCAGGAGGAGCAGGAGGGCCCAGAGCACGTAGACATCCACATAGCAGGGCCCACAGCTCAGGGCCCACTCCACTGGGCTCACCTGGGCTAGGTGATTCAGGGAGGCTGAGTGACTTACCTGAGGGCACACAGCAAGCTCCTGGCCCAGCCCAGCCTGCCTCCTTTCCAGGCAGCCTTGACGCTCACCAGGGGGCAGGGCGAGGACACCACTGGCCAGTCTCGGCGTGCCCAGGTGAGTCAACACTCTGTCCCCGTGGCGATCTACGGAGCAGTCAGACCTGCTTCCCCCTCTGCATTCCTGGCCCCTGTCCACGCTGGGCCCTTCTGGGCAGGGTCACCAAGGCCTCCCCAGCCTTCTCCAGGGCCCCTCAGGCCTGGGGGCCGCACCCTGTTATGGCACCCACTCTGGAATTTCCTGGTCTGGATGGCACGGAAGTTCTGTTTGCAGGGGAGCTTGTCCCAGGTTGCTTCAAGCGTCCAGATGCACCAGCATGCCCAGATGCAGGCAGAGGGGCCAGGAGCTGCCCAGAAAGGGGACACTGCACTGTCACAGCTGAAGCCTCCAGTCTACACCTGGCCTCTCCCCCCTGCACCCTTCCTCTGTCCCTCCATGGCTCCCCTAGAAACACCAGCCCCCTGCCTCCCACTTCCAGTCTCTGGTTGCACATTCCACAGCTTCCCTTCCTCTGCCCGGGCGCACCCGTCACTGGAGTTTCCCAAACCTGGGGTGCCGCGGGTCTCCTTCGCAGACACCAGCGTCACCGCCTCCTGACAGCCTCCAGGCTGGCACCCAGCGCCTGACAGTGGCCTCCAGACTGTCTCTGCGCTGCCCCTAAACCCGAACGAGCTAACCCGGGAGCAGGAAGCCTGAAGCCGAATCCCGATGGGACAGAGGGCCCCTTCAGACTCGTAACTCGGGGGACTCGGAGTCGTGGAGGCACAGACAGCAGCGTGAGGGGTGCGGAGATGAAAGTCCCACCGGGAGCGACGGGCCCGCCCAGACGCGCGGCGTTCACGCAGCCTTACCTGCGCCCAGCGGGTGGCCCGCGCGCGCTGTGCGACCGCAGCAGTTCCCTGGCGGGCAAGCGCGGGGCCCAGCGCCCGCTCCCTCAGCCCCGCCCCCCGGCCGCCCAGCCCCGCCCCTAGATTCCTATGACCCGCCCCTATAGCCCGCTGACACGCCCCCCGGGCGCCAACGGCCCGCCTCCAGTCCCAGGCCCCGCCCCATCCAGCCCCGAATCCCCGCCTCTAGACCTAGGCCCCGCCCCATCCAGACCTAGGCCCCGCCCCCAAGCCCTGCCCACAGCCCCGCTTGGACGCGGAGCTTGTGAGGCGGCGGGACGCTGCGTCAGTTCGCGGTAGAGCCTGGGCGGCTTTCCTGAAGTTTGGCTCTGGCGTCTTCAGGGTCCTGGGATCAAGGGAAGGAGGCAGGGGGAAGACTGAGGCCCCACTCCCTCAGTCGTGCCCTCACACACTCACGCAGGGCATTGCAAACAGATGCACGCTCATGCACACACGCAGGCACGCAGCCACCCACAATCATACACCACACACACACACACACACACACACACACTCACACACACACACACACACACACACACACGACACAGGAGATTTTGAAGCCGTGCAGGCCGGGGCTGCGGCCCTATGACCTTCTCGACCCACACCAAGTCTCAGAGGCCAGCACCAGCCGAGTGGGGGCTGGGTTCAACCGAGGCTGCCCGGTGCCCGCAGCCAGCGGCCACTCCCCAAGGTGTGACCTTGGGGAGGTATTCAGTCCCCTGCCCCCACTCCCGAGTCTCACAGAGACCGGTGGAGCATGAAGCCTGGCGGTTGTCTGTGCCAGCGCATGGCATGTGACCTTGGAAAAGGTGACAGCCGCCTAGGCACCGGGAGGGGGTGGACCTGTATCAAAGGGGCCGGCCCACCTGCAGGCTGGGCCCCCTCACTTCCCCATCATTTCTTGCATGAGGTTCCAGGGAGTCATCCGGTCTGTCTGGCCCTGTCACAGCTGAGACCTCTGGGAAGAGCCCATCCCCCATCCGAAGGCTTGAAAGAAAGCAGAGAGGAAGTTGGGGGGAGGGCGGGCTGCAGATGCTCGCTCCCTGATGGCAGACTAAGGTGTTCCCCCGCGTGGGGCAGGGGGTGCGTTTGCGGGTTGAGGGACTTTTTGTAGATATTGATCTGGGGGAACCTGTGGAGCTCTTGGAACATAGGAGTGGGCTGGCAATGAGGATGTGGCTTTTGGTCAGGGGCTGGACCTGAGTGGCCTTGCCCACATGGAAAGGGCAGGGCTGTCTGGGGTGGGGGTGGAGGGGTCACTTCTCACCCTTAGCAACAACCAGGGCCAGTGGAGCAGGGGCCCCGGCTGGAGGGCTGTGAGCTTGTGCTGGTGACCCTGGTGACTTTCCCTTCTCCAAGCCTGAGTTTTCTCACCTGTATCTCTGGCCGAGGTCAGTCAGTGCTACCTGGACTCACACCGGAAGGAGAGGGCGGCTCAGCTTCCTCCCCAGAGCCCCGTCTTCCTGTCCAGCTACACCCAGGGACTTGGAATGCTGGTTGAGCTCTGGGCTGGCGCCAGCCCTCCTTCACTTCGTCCCACTCACTAAGTCACCTCATAGGCACTGCCAAGCCCGGTTCTGTTATCTGCCAAGTGGGGCAAGACCTGCTGCCCAGCCCTCTCCTAGTTCATCCTTGGCTTGGGCCAGGTGGAGCCCCTGGCCCCTACTGGTGCCCTAAGGTGGGCTCTATTTCATCCACTGCCCTTTCCCCTGCAGCACTACCTCTATGTGCCCCACCCCCACCTCACCCCATGTATATGCAATTGCACAGACCATGGGAATACAGGGCCACATGCGAGTTACACAATCTAGTTTTTTGTTTGTTTGTTTTGAGGTCACACCTGCAGTGCTCAGAGGCTATTGCCAGCATACAGCGCTGGACACCATGTGGTGCCGGGGATCAACCCAGGTCTCTAGCATGCAGAACATGTGCTTGCTCCAGTCCTTTTTAGTCACCTCCACAGCCCCTGCACAGTCTGTTTTGGAGCCTTCTGCATTACAGAGCTCTGGGAACTGCTCCGTAGGTGGGCCCATGTGTGCAGACCACATTCATGACCGTGTAAACAGACACACACTCCGCATGGCCCTCACACGAGACACACAGAAGCTGAGTGCCATGCACTTCTTCGTGCTCTAGAGCCCTGGGACACAGGGCTGGTGTGTTTACATACAGGTCTCACCACCCAGCCCCAGCCCAGCCCCACAGCTATTCCGGGCCTGGGCTGGGGCCAGCAAGGTCAGACTCTGCCAGCTCCCAGCAGCCCCAGTCACTGTGTCACACAGGCCTAGGCTGCCCAGCCGCACCCCAGCCTAGGAAAACTCCAAGATTGCCTCCAGCCCCCTAGCACCCCCCTTCAGTTTCCTGGTTCTAGGACAGGTAGGGAGTGGGGAGGGGGGTTGCTCCTTACCCCTGGCTTACTAAGAGCTGAGCCTTCAGTACTGGGGTTTCCATCTCAGGAGAGAATCATACAAGGTCCCTGAATGTTGCCAACTACGCTGTCCATGACTTCCAGCCCAGAGGCCCTGGAGACTGGACAGAGTCCCTACAGGAAACCCACAAGAGCCAAAAATAGCCCCACAGGGACAAGCGGGGTTCTGCAGGACAGCCCTTATGCCACCAGGCATGGAGGAGACAGGCTTCAGAGGTCTGTCACCCCAAATCTGCTGGGCCAACTGGGACTTGAGTGCAGAGGACAAGGAGACCTCATAAGATATAGGAACAGTACTGGACCGTGGGTAGAGCTGAGTCTGAGCCTCAATGCCACCTGATTAACTGGGAGGGAAAGGTAAGCTCTGGAAAATGGAAAAGGTTTCAGCTCATGAATTTTCCTCTCAGCCTGAGAAAGGAATAGATATAAACATTCAACAACTGGGAAGCAAATAAACAAGGTATTGTGGGGTTCTTATACAGTACAATACCAAGCATACACGGTACAATACCAAGCATAAGTGAGTAACCTTCCTAGCAATGAGCATGACTGAGAGCTCGTGAAAAACAGTTCTACTGTAGCTATACTCATTTTACAGATGAAGGAAATAAGGTCAGAGAGCTCACCACTGCCAAAACAACAGTGCTGCAGAAGTTTGGGTTTTGGGGTTTTTGTTTTCTGGGTGGGTTGGTTTGGTTTTTTGGGTCTGGTTTGGTTTTGTATTGTTTTAGGGCCACACCCAGTAATTCTCAGGGCTTGCTCCTAGCTCTGTACTCGGAGCTCAGGGGACCCTATGGGGTGCCGGGGATTGAACCCATGCCAGGGGGCAATCAAGGTAAGCCCCTTACCCACTGTACTATCTCTCCAGCCCACAGAATTCTTAGTTTTAAGCTTTATAAACTTCAGAAGTGATATAGTAGAAAGCCATAATTTTATAAGAACTTTGAAATTCAATTTCAGTTTTTTTTGGGCTAATTCAGTTTTGTGAATTTTTTAATAACAGCTTTAATTTTTTTGTTCCGTCCCCCTTTGCCAGCTTCAGAAGCACGGAAGAAATCCAAACAATTTAACTTTTCCGTCGTGAGCCTTCACGTCGGTAGCCTTAGGCTTCTGTAGTCATCAAAGCCTGAAACTGCATAAGGGGGCCCAGGGCACCCGATGTTTAAAGTTCTGTTCTCTTATTCCAAGGCAGCTGGACTTGGAAGACTGCGTGTCATGTCGTATTTGACAGTGTCTGTGTGTGTTGGGGCAGGGTGTCCCCAAGCTGCCGGTCTTGGGGAGAAGGTGACTGAAAGGAGCATCCAATGAGACCTCAGCTGTGCTGTCTCAGAAGCCTACAGAAAAGTGGAGCACATGTGGCACTGAGCCCCTCTCTGGGGACGCTGGGGACATATGTGGTTATATTCCTTTTCCGATTGCTTCCCTGGGCTTGCCCTACTTCGTGGATGGAAAGATGATGAACTTCACAGGAAACAATGACAAGCTCCCCTCCCGGGCCTAGTTGCCCAGTCAGGGAGGCCCAGCCTGTACCCCGCAGCCCACAATTGTTCCTTTCTGCAGCCCTCACACCAGCCCTGAATGAGACTTGCTGTCCCTGTTGATGCGCTGAGAGGCACCCTCAGCTGTTGTCAGGGAGCCTGACCTCAACCCTCGTGCAGCCAAGGTGTCTCCGACTTCATGTCCCAGGGGTGACCTTCCGGATTAGTCAGTGTGGCTTTTCCCAGGCAGGCCCATGATAGCATGAAAAAGGTTGAGAACAGAACCACAGCTTGTGCTTTGGGGTTTTGGTGGAAATCCTATTTGTCTGGTCATGGTAAACTTAAAGCAAATGGGGTGATCCAGCCTCCAGAGTTTGCCACCCGTCTTTTGATTTTGTTCTTGAAGGGTGAGGATTGGGTCACATCTCCCTCACAGTGCTCAAGAGCACAGCTACGACTCCTAGTCTGAATGCTCAGGGGACCATACAGTGCTGGGGATCAACCCCAGGGCTCCTGCATACAAAGTCTGTGCTCCAGCCTGCTAGGTGGTACCATCTACCCTGGTACTACCACCCACACTTGTGGGCTTCCTAGCTGGCCATCCTGGACCAGAGACTCTCCCATTTCCTTGACTTCCCGCCCCCCTGTCCCCAGCCTTGCTGCAGCCACCTCATTCCTTGCCATCCAGGGCTTCTCCAGGCAGGGAGACCCACAACACTCTGTTTTGTTTGTTTGATTTTGGTGGTATAGCCAGCAGTGTTCAGGTCTTACTCCTGGCTCTGCTGTCAGAGATCACTGCTGGCAGACTCAGAGACCATACAGGGTGACAGGGATCGAATCCTGGTTGGGCAAGAACCAGGCAAGCACCCTCCCTATCTGCTGGTCTCCTGTTCTTGTGTGTGTCTAAGGTTCAAGGCCCCTTACTCTGATGTCCTGGCTGATGAGGCATGCAGGGTTCCCCAGTCGGCTGTGTCCCCAGGGGCCAGGGTTCCTAACAAGGAAAGAAGGAGAAAAAGGAGAGATGGAGAAGGAGAAGAAAGATGTTTCCTAGCCCAGCCTCCCTGCTGCTTCCACCATCCCATCCTCCAGGCCCACGCAGCCCCTCACGTCCTCCCTCTCTCGGTTAAAGGCTTGTGCAGCTCACCCAGAGGACACGTTCAGCAGAAGATAAGGGTCAGGCTGAGGAGGGGGCATCAGGATTAACTATCCTCTGGCCCTTCCAGGGAAGTCCACCCTGACTCGAGCTGGCCAGAGATGCTGCTCCTTCCAGAACTTTCCACAGCACAGCAGCTGTGAGCTCTGACCATCCGATCCCTGCTCCCCCTCCCCCCCAGCTCTGGTGTCCAGGGTGACCAGAGCTGCCTCTGGGCAGGAAGCCAGCCCAGCCAGCACAGGACATCCCTGAGCGCCCATCTCCATGGCAACCTGCTGGTCCTCTTCCCCCTCCCTCACCTGGGTTTTCAGATTCAGTATATCCAAGGGGAAGGGCCTCCTCCATCAGCAGATTCCAGCCCCTCCTGGGGCTGCCCAGATGGAGAAACTGAGGCCTTTCTAGGGGAGGGCCAGTGGACCTGTTGTTCAAGGACCACTGCTCGTGGAGCCGATGGGTGGGGTGAGGATGCGTGGGGGTCTGCAGTCTGAGCTTCCCCCCCCACCCCGGGGGGCGGGCCCTGCTCCAGCAGCAGGAACCAGACACCAACGATGATGAATAAATGATGCCGGCTCACAGCCTGCGCGTACCGCTGGGGCGCGCGTGCGGGCGGGCGGGCGGGAGCGGCGGCCAGCGGGAGGCCAGCGGGCGGCCAGCGGGCAGCAGGGCGGACATGGGCCGGCCACGGGGCGCCGGGCCCCTCTGGGCGCTGGGCGCCACCGCCCTGGGGGCGAGCCTCGCGGGGGTCGCCGGGCAGCTGGTGGAGGTGAGAGGGGCGGCCCGCGGGGGTTGTGGGGGGCTGTCAGGAGCAGTTGAGCCCCAAGAAGTGCTTCCAGGCTGCGGGAGAGGCTCAGCCCCGGGTCTTGGGATCCCTGGTTGGAGGCGAGAGCGTAGCCCTGACTTGAGAAACTTTGGTCTGATGTGGGGAGGACCCCCCCCCCCTGATTCTAGAGCCTGCAGCCAGGACATACCGCCTTGCCCACGATGGGGTCGTTCAGACCCTTCCTAATTTAAGAGGTGTGTGTGTGTGGGGGGGGGATTAGTCCTGGATCTTTGTGACTCCCATCTGATGGGGGTGCTCTGGTACCTGCCCTCAAGGGCTGTTGGAGGAAGCAGCTTCCGAGAATCCTTCTGTCTGGTGGGGGTGTGGGAGAGGTTTGGGCAGATGGATGACACCAGAAGGGGACCCTCCCATCACACAGGTGTGGAACTCACCTGGGGTGGGGTCCTGGGTCCTGGAAGAGAACCCCCAGTTCAGGAGCTGCAGGCAGGAAGATCCTCCCCTCCCCCACCCCACACCCCTTCTCTCGGGGTCTTCCTTCATCCTGGCGCAACAAAGAGGCACTAAACAAGGTTTCAGAGCAGGGGCGTGGGGCTGTGTCCAGCACCCGGAGGAGAATAATGAGAAGATGGGACTGTTGGGCGAAGCTGGGCTGCTGTAGAGAGAGTTCAGGATGGTCAGGAGGGGGTCTGGGATGTGGAAGTGTTAGGGTGGAGGAGGACCAAGGCACCCTCAGCCTACGCCCTCTTCCTACTGTCCAGGAAGGAGAGGTGAAGAGGCAGCCCAGACCCAGGTTTCAGATCCTGAGGCCCAGGAGGTAGACAGGGCTCTGGACGGGAGTAAGGAAAAGATGGCGCTGAGGGGACAGAGGCCGAGTGGCCGGAGCTGGGACAGGCACAAGAGCAGTGAGGGCCTTCAGGGGGCCGGTGCTCCAGGCAGGGAGCACAGCGGGTGAGGGAGGAGGGAGGACAGAGCCATTCGCGCAGGGTCCGAGGCCCAGCATCTGTGCTAGGCCAGGGCCTGCTGCTGCCCAGGGCGTGGGCCCGGAGGCTGGGCGGGAGTCAGATGTCAGCTCCGGTGTCCCTGTAAGGGAAGCCAGGCTGGCACCTTGGGGTGTGCCTGCACCCCTCAGGCACAGAAACTGAGCCGCTGAGGCAGTTCTGAGCCAAGAAACTCTCCTCCCAACTCCCAGGAGCGTATCTCCATAGTTCAGCAGGGGGTTGCGTGAGGAGCATAGCTGGCAGCCGAGCAAGGCCCTGGCCAAGCCCAGGGGCTCCGCGAAGGGCAGAGCTGGGGTGCAGGGCAGTTTCCCCACTGCCCCTCAGGCAGCACCCCTCTCCTCGGGTTGGCGGCTCCAGGTCCCCACTCTGAGAAGCTGGACCGTTCCCCATCACTGACCGCTTCAGACCCCGAAGACCCCCACCAGCCACCTCGGTGAAGGTGGGAACACAAATATGGGGATATGAGCTCACATTGCCCAGCCCTTTACTGTGTAGAAGGCCCTGGCTGGGTCAATGGGCTGAACCAGAGAATCAGGGAACCCCGCCTCTGCCCAGATCCTGGCCCCCAAGCTGCCGACACTCGTCCAAGCACACCCTCAGTCACCTCCACCAGCCACAAGCTCAGCCCCCCCATCAACCTGACCTGCCATGGTGCCCTGACTGATCTGTCCCCTTTACCTTCTGTATGCCCTGATCCCCCATATGTACAATGACCCTCATGTATACCCCAACCCCCGTGTGTGCCCTGACTCCTCATGTGTGCCCTGACCCTTCATGTGTACACTGAACCCCGTGTATGTGATGACTCCTTATGTGTGCCCTGACCCCCATGTGTGCCCTGACCCCCATGTGTACAATGACCTTCATGTGTGCCCTGACCCGCCAGGTGTGCCCTGCCTCCTCATGTGTGCTCTTACCCCCATGTGTACCCTGACCCCCGTGTGTTCTCTGATCCCTCATGTGTGCCCTGCCCCCTCATGTGTACCCTGAACCCTGTGTATGTGATGACTCCTTATGTGTGCCCTGACCCCCATGTGTACAATGACCCTTGTGTGTGCCTTGGCCCCCGTGTGTGCCCTGACCCCTCATGTGTGCCTTGACCCCATGTGTGTTCTGAACACGTATGTGCCCTGACCCCCATGTGTCCGCTGATCCCATATGTGCCCTGACCCCATACAAGAACCTAATGCTTCATCCTGCTCTCACACATGAGCAGGTAGCTGGCCTTGGAGGGGTGAACTGTGATTACCTTTGTTTCCCAGAGAACCATCAGGACTCTGCATGCCTGTGCTGGTTGGGACTGTTGGGACAGTTCCCTGCTCATGCGCCAGAGTCCTCTGACCCTCTGAGAACCAAGAGCTGCCCCTGCACCTCAGTCCACCGCGGACAGCATCTCTCAGAGCCCCACACGTTAGGGTAGGACTTGGTCAAAGCCCTTGGGGCAAGGGACCACATCTCCGCAGTCCCCCTTGGCAGGACTATGTTCCTAGACACCCAGGCTAGCACTGGGGGTGGGGGCAGGCTGGATTTGGGGCCACACTCGGTGATGCTCAGGAGTTACTCCTGGCTCAGGAATCACTCCTGGCGGTGCTTGGGGGACCGTATGGGATGCTGAAGGTCAAATCCGAGTTGCCAAACACCCAGCTGTATAGTGGCTCTTGCCCAGGTCAATTTGTGTCCCTTCCATTCCACACCAGGGTTAGGGTCCCACTGGGAAATGGGAAGCGACTGGGCTCTGGCTGCGCTTCCAGAGTTTGGCCTCCAGATGTCGCTGTGGCCCTGTAGACACTCGGTTATCTGTCCTGCTCGCTAATGGCTGGTCAGCGGAGGTGGCGCTGGAGGACAAGCGACTGTTGAGGCCACCTGGTCGGGATCCCGGCCAGGCGACTTCGGTCCCGACTCCAGCTTCACAGTCCACACCGCCCGAGGCCTGGTCGCATCTCCAGCCTTGGTGCAGAGACCACGGTGCCTGAGAGGGGCCTGAAGCCCGAGGAGAGGCTGCCCAGGGCCCGGGACCTGGCGGGATGTGCCACTGTGGTTTCCCTTCCAGGCTCTGCTTTCCCGAGCATCACCAGCATCAACCTCTATATCCCTGGCTCTGGTGCACGGGCGCTCTGTTCTCATCTCATGTTCTTTTTTGTTTTTGTTTTTGTTTTTCTTGTGTGGCCACACCCCATAGTGCTCAGGGCTTACTTCTGACTCTGCGCTCAGGGGTGACTCCTGGCAGGACTCAGGGGACCCTATGGGGCGCTGGAGATCAAACCTGGCCTGAACTGTCACTCTGGCCCTCTTATGTTCTTCAAGGCGACCCTCCCCAGGTCCAGGGCAGGGAGTGACTGTCATAGGCGGTCTTGATTCTCAGAGATCTGAACTTCTTGGACTGACTCTGCGCTGGGACCTGAGCCTCCCTCTGCCCTGTCTAGCCCGGGCTCACTCCCTCTCTCCTGATTCGCAGCCCAGCACAGCGCCACCAAAGCCCAAGCCACCCCCGCTGACCAAGGAGACAGTGGTATTCTGGGACATGCGTCTGTGGCACGTGGTGGGCATCTTCTCGCTCTTCGTGTTGTCCATCAGTGAGTAGCTGCTCCCCGCCTCCCTGCCACGCTGCAGCGGGAGCCCCCCTCACCCTCCCCACCCCCGCCCCCAGCACTACCCCCAGGGGCTCGGAACGGCAAATTCCGGGCAGTGCAAGCAGGCCAGGCGCCTGCAGGAGGCCCACTGTGGTTTCTGGCACCTCCTGATCCACACAGAGTCCCTGTGGAGGGCTGACGGGCCGGCGGTGACCTGAAGTATTCTGCCGACCAGGGACGCAGCCACACAGCAATTATGGTAATTACAGGGGACCACTGAACCGGGACGAGGACGTGTCATTTCTCCCTATCTCTGGCCTCCCGATGCTTTTCCTGCAGTCTGGCCAGCTTAAAGCACCCACACCCAGGGGCCCCAGCAAGGCCACCCTTGGCCACCACTCAGCCGGGAGGCTCCCCAGATGCCCAGCAGATGTGGCTACAACTCAGCCTTGTCAAATACCGTTTTTTCCGGAATGACTCACACCCACCTCAATTAAAAGCAGACGACCCCTCCTCTCTTGGGACTGGGAGTTGCTTGACACAAAGTTGAAATAGAAATGAGCTTAATGTGCACCCTTTCTCCTGGCTTCCAGAGTGGGGGGTCTAGAGATGGGGAAGGGGGGCTGAGATAGGCTGACTGAGAGCACCCAACAGTCTGATGGAGCTTCCTGAGTCCCAAGGGGTTTGTGTATGTGTTGGGAGCACGGGTGAAGGGAAAGAAATGAAGGGAAAGAAACTCATTCTGCCCGAGAGGGCTTCAGAGAGGAACTGAGGAGTGTGGGAGGATGGGGGGGTGGGTGCTGGCAGTTCTGGGCAGCAATGCAGGACATGGGAGGGAAGGGGTCTCAGGTAACCCTTTTGTAGGTGGGGAGTGGGATAAAGCAGCATGACAGTCCTGGTGCAGGATGTTCCAGGATGAGCTCCCAGAGGGAGGGCCAAGCAGATGTGGGGGCTCCCAGGGGACAAGGCCATCTGATTTGCATGTGTGTCTCCTGGCATCAGAAGTGTCCTCTCCACAGGAAAACATCACACCACTGCCACCATGTCCTCACGGCTGGGCAAGAGGCTGCGTGTCAGCCAGACTGAGCCTGGGCAGAGGCCCCACATACACGCACGCACACACACACCACACACACATTCACACACATACTCACACAAACACGCACACACACACACTCACACAAACATGCATACACACATATATATACACACATGCATGCACACATACATATACACACACTCACACACACGCATACACACATGCACACACTCACACAAACACGCATACACACATACACACTCACACACACGCATGCACATGAATACACACACTCACACACGTGCACGCACACACACATACACACATACACACTCACACACAAGCACACACATACATACACAGATACACACACTCATACATGCATGCACACACACACATACACGCACACGTGCGCACACACACATTCAGCCCAGCCCAGGTGTGCAGACAGGGAGTAACCCCCAGCACTGAGAGGCAGGGTTGGGGGAGGCATCCACCCTGCAAGGGCCTACGGAACAGTCTAGGGGTCAGGCCTGGGGAGCAGGGGTGGGCACCAGGTGGTGCCAGACACGCGGCAGCCTCCCTCTGCCTCTCCTCAGCTCTGGATGGTGGCAGTACCTGGGGCACACAGGAAATCAGCAGCTCACACCCAGAGCAGTGCCCAGACAGCCCCACGCAGATCATCTCCTGTATCTGCCTCGCTCCCCAAGAGGGCTCGTCCCAGGTCCGTGAGCAGAGGGCTGCAGAGGCCCTGGGCAGGCAGGTGATGACTCCGGCCTCCCATGAAGCATCACCTCCAAACTTTGTGGAGAAGAACAACATGGGGTAGGGTGGGGACAGGGGTCCCTTCTAATTCAGGGGCTATATCCCAAGCTCCACCTGGTTCTGGAACTCAATTAAAAAAAGCAGTTCGTTTCTCTCCGTTGAGAGAAGCAGCCAGGCCTAGGCTCGGGGGCGGGGGGTGGGGGGAGGGACAGGATATGGAAGCTCACTAGTCCTGCCCCCTAGGGCCTGGCACCAGCCTTGCCAGAGAGCCCAAGTGGGCTTGGGGTGGGGACAGAGCAGGTGGCTGGAGGAAATGACCCAAACCTTGCTGTCACAGTCCTCCCGTTGTTCATCGATTTGCTCGAGCAGGCTCAGTAACGTCTCCATTGGAGACTTTGTTGTTACTGTGTCTGGCATATCGAATACTCTCGGTAGCTTGCCGGGCTCTCCGAGAGGGGCGGAGGAATCGAACTCGGGTCGGCCATGTTGGCTGCGTGCAAGGCAAACACCCTACTGCTTTGCCATCGCTCCAGCCCGACCCAAACCTTGGGCTGGAGTAATAGTACAGCAGGTAAGATGCTTGCCTTGCTGACCCAGGTACCATCCTTCACATTCCATATGGTCTCCCAAGAACCATCAGGAGTAATTCCTGAGTGCAGAGCCAGGAGGAACCCCTGAGCATCGCTCTGTATGACCCAAAAAGCAGAAAAAAAAAAGAGTTTGACTTGTCCTGCCTGTCACTCCTGCCCTAGAAGCCAGCCAGGAAGTCATGTCTGGTCATCTGATTCAAAATAGGGAGCAGCTCTGTCCCCTCCCTACAGGCTGGAGCCCAAGTGGTCAGACTGGGTGATGGGGTGGGGGCTTAGGAAAATAAAACCCAGTCCAGCCAGGTCCTGAAAGTCCTGCCCGGCCCCTCACTGGACAGGCCAGCTTCATGCCACAGCCCGGCTCGTGTGGGCACAGCTGCTCCCGCCGGAAACCTCTCCTGCAAAAACCACCTGAGGTGAATGCCCCTGGGCCAGGCTGGGGCCTCTCAGCCTCTGTCCTGCCAGGAAGAGTTCAGCTTGTCCTCAGGGGGACTGAGGGAGGTGCTCCCCAGTCTGGGTCCTTTGGGGAGCCTTGAGGTGACGGCTAGGAGTCGTAATGAAGCACAGGACAGCCCCAGAAAACAGCAACTGAGTCGGGCCCAGCCCTTGGCACTCGGCCGCTATCCTCTGGGATCTCTCAGCCTAGCCAGGGACACCCTCGGGGCCAGGTCCGGCACAGCACTAAAAGGGCCAGTGCCAAGTGGACAGAGGAGGGCTCTTGTTCAGAACCAATTGAGACATTCACGACAGCCCTTAACCCCGTGCCACCTCAGAGAAGGGCACTACACACCTCTGGGCCTGCCCCACTCTGGAAACCCCTGAACCCAGGCCTCCTGCCCCTAACACACACACACACTGAGGTTGCCGGAGGGAGGCTGGTGGCTGGGCTCCCGGGGGAGGCAGGGTGCGTGTCCGAGGGGCAGCCCTGGTCCAGCCTGCTCTCTACTCCCCGCAGTAATCACTCTGTGCTGTGTCTTCAACTGCCGTGTGCCACGGACCCGTAAGGAGATTGAAGCTCGGTATCTGCAGCGAAAGGCAGCCAAGATGTACACAGACAAGCTAGAGACGGTACCACCCCTCAACGAACTGACAGAGATCCCCGGAGGTGAGGGGCCCTGGGACCAGAACCCCAGAAATTGGTCCGAGTGAGGCCAGAAGACCAGGCGCTGCTCTGTGTGTGTGTGTGTGTGTGTGTGTGTGTGTGTGTGTGTGTGTGTGTGTGTGTGTAAGGGGAGAATGCAGGGAAGGAGCTTTGTGGAAGGAGGACCCAGGGAAGCCTAGAACTGGGCTGGCTCCAGGAGGTTCTAGGTTGGCCTCAGCCCTGGGGGCGGTACCTCACATGGCCTCTTTCCTCTCCCCCCCACCTCGTAGAGGACAAGAAGAAGAAGAAGAAAAAGGACAGTGTGGACACAGTGGCCATCAAGGTGGAGGAGGATGAGAAAAATGAGGCCAAGAAGAAGAAAGGAGAGAAGTGAGGAGAGCTTCCTGGAGGCAGCAGCAGACTGGCAGGCCCTGGACACATCCTGACTACAGTCCAGGCACCTTTGGTTCCAAGCTGGACCCTGGGTCACAGAGGTGGTGCTACACCATCTTCCTGCTCCGAGGGGGGATGAGGCCCATGGTCATGTCAGAGACAAGATTGCTGCATCCCGTGTCCTGCCTCCCAGCCTAGATGCCCCTCTTTTCCCCTGTCCTCGTGACTACCCAGCAAGGCTGGCCTCCGGCCGCTGTCCCTCTGTGGCCCGCAAGCATCCCCATGCCCACCCAGACCTGCCTCTGCCCCACCTTTCTTCGAGGAATGGCCTTAGCTCTAGAGGGGACCAGGGCGAGGCTCGTCCTGGCAGAGGCGGGGGTCAGGCCATGACGGGGAGGAGGCACTGGGCACTGGGGTTGCAGAAGCTGCTCATGTCTGGCCAAACAGCAGCCTGGGGATCGGAGACTGGCCCCAGTCTGGCACAGGTCCAAGAACGTGAGCAAAGGAGACACCCTAGGCAGGAGGCCCCACAGCCCAGCAGAACCAGTTCCGGGCAATGCAGAGCATTCGTTTGGAAGATGGATTTGCAGCTGGGCCTGTGGGGAGACTCCACAGAGGCCTCTGGGCTGGAAGCTAGAGTCGGGTGGGGAGGGAGGCTCAGGGTGCCGAGGGCTGAGGCCAGCAGGCCAGAGAGAGAAAGAAAGGAAACTGGGACTGGGCCCCTTCTTGAACCTCCAGAAGAGCACTGGGCTGAAGTGGGGAGTACCTGGACCCTAGGGGATCAGCACGGGGACTAGAAGTGGAAGAGGCAGCAATCAGCATTCCTCTGGAGACAGTCCAGGCACAGGCAACCCTCTTCTGCCCCCTCAAGGCCAGCGCCTGAGGCAGCACACACACACACACACACACACACACACACACACACACACACACACTCCTGAGGATGGTCCTGGGGTGGGGGAGACGCTGGGTCCCAGGGCTCCCATCTAGGGGCTGCTGACATGGTGGCACTATCTTAGAGTCGGGTATCAGTGAAGCCGAGGGCCTCTCCGGCCTGTGCCAGAGATAGGAGGCGTCCCCAGAGCTTTCATGACAGCCACTGGTGCCCGGTGGCACTGACCAGGCTGAGTTCCTCTTGGGCTTGTCCTCCCAGCCTGAGTGGGGATGAGTTGGAATGCAAGTCAGTGGCCAAGCAGCTGCGGCCAGTGGTGGGGTGGGCTGAGGACCAGGGAGGGAGCGGCCACTCCACCTCCCCCCTCTCCCCTCCCCCTTCAGTGGCCTCAGCCCAGTGCTGGGCACCTGGTCCCGGAGACCCATCCTAGGCGTCTCGTTACTCTGCTTCTTGGAGGTCGTCATAGTCCAAGGAGGGGAGACCAGGCTCCAAACCTCAGCACAGAGCCGGGAACTCGGCACCAAGATGGGCACAGTGAGCCCAACCCCTGGGCTTGTCATTCGGGGGAGGGGGACCCTCAGGGTGGGGGGAGCCACTTAAAGTCACTTGTCACTGCAAGGTCCAGGCTACCCCACCCCGCCAGCTCTCTCCTCGACAGGACTGCTGAGTGCGGGCAGTGTCCCATGCCAATGCTGTCTGCTCTTGGCTCAGTACTAGAGGGTCCACATTCACATCTTCAGCACTCTGGGCAAAGCTTTCTGGTCACTAGCCAAAGTTAAGGAGAACCTGACCCTCTAGAGTGTCCCCCAATGGACGTTCTCAGGTCCCCAGCCCAAACACAACACCATCCCCTCACCTTCACCTCCCGCCAGGTCCTGGCTGGTCCAGGGTCAGCCTCGCTGGAACATTCTAGACCCATCATCTGATCTCAAAACAGTCCCATCACTGTCCTTCCACCTTCCCCTGCAGCCATGGTCCTTGCAAAGGCAGGTCCAGGGGTTCACACTTTACAGAATAAACTTCCTGGAACACCCCCGTTCCCTGCTCTGCCTCTGATGGACTCATCTCCACTCTATAGACCCAGGTATGAGAGGGTATGGGAAAGAGGCACAATTCACTGGGTACTACCTGGGGTGAGGGGGCTGTGGGAGCCGCAGCCAGAGCACTCAGGGGCCCTGGCAAGGGTGGGCACACCCAGGATGGTCTGCAGGTCAGGGTCCAAGCACACCAGGAGGCTGAGGGGCAGCAGGAGCAGGAATAGGCTCTGGACAGGGCGGACAGCCCCCCACACTTGGGGCTACTCTGGACCCGGTGTGGACCAGAGACGTAGGAAGACGCGGAACTCTGCACCCCTCAGGGTTGAGACCCTGCTCGTGCATCACACCAGGTCCCCGACACATCCACAGAATAGACAGGGGGTAAATACAGTGCTCCCATCGGGTGGGGTGGGGCGGAAGGGGACAGGGAGGCCAGAGGAGACATGGCCCAGTCCAGACACTGCAAACATCTCCCACCACATCACGCCCAGCCTGTGACATCGCAGAAAGGGACCCTCCAGGCTTTCCTCTGCCCCTTGGTCAGTGATCCTCACCTTTCTCTTCTCAGTCTCCCTCCGCATTCCCGTCTCCCCCAGTCCCCATGTTCTTCCTCCCTGGCTCCCTCTCACATTCCCCAGCCTCCCCATCTCCCCCTCTCTATCCCTGCAACCCTGACATGTCCCTATCCTGGGGTCCCCTTGCCCCACTTCTGACCGGGTGCCCTTGGAGATGAGTGAGCAAGAAGAGGTGTGGACACAGCAGATGTCTCTCCCACCCCACCCCACCCCCACAGATCCCCTGGGGCGTGGGGGTCCGTATCTGAGCGGGCACTTTGAAGACCCTGTGATAGAAACGGTCCCATTTCTCGTTCTTGTGGGTGTTGCCCACTTTCTTTTTTTTTTTTTTTTTTTTTCCCCCTTTATTTTATTTTATTTTTTTTTAAGTTGTAGATTTACAATTTTTTGTGCTTTGGTTTCAATTATACAATGATCAGATACCCATCCCTCCACCAGTGCCCATTTTCCACCACCATGGATAATATCCCTCCCACCCCCATCCCCCCATCCCCCCGTCTCTGTGGCAGGGCAATCCCCTGTGTTCTCTCTCTCCTTTTGGGTGTTGTGGTCTGCAAAAGAGGCATTGAGTGGCAAACATGTTCAGTCCATAGTCTACTTTCGACATGCATCTCCCCTCCTGGGAGGATCCTCCAAACATCCTTTATTTGGTGCTCCCTTCTCTATCTGAATAGCCCTTTCCTCTAGGATACCCGGCTGGCCTCTAAGTTATGGAGTAATCCTCCTGGTGCTGATCTCAGCTATTCTTGGGTATTAATCTCATACTTTGTTACTTTATATCCCCCAGATGAATGCAATCTTTCTATGTCTATCCCTCTCTTTCTGACTCATTTCGCTTAGCATGATACTTTCCATATTGTACCACTTGTATGTAAATTTCATGACTTCATCTTTTCTAAGAGCTACATAGAACTCCATTGTGTAGATGTACCAAAGTTTCTTTAACCAGTCATCTGTTCTTGGGCATTCAGGTTTCTTCCAGTTTCTGGCTATTGTAAAGAGGGCTGCAATGAACAAACAAGTGCAGATGTCACTTCGACTATACATTTTTGCCTCTCTGGGATATATTCCCAGGAGTGGTATTGCTGGGTCAAATGGGAGCTCAATTTCTAACTTTTTGAGAATCGTCCATACTGTTTTCCAGAAGGGCTGAACCAGTGGACATTCCCACCAACAGTGAAGGAGTGTCCCTTTCTCGCCACATCCACGCCAGCATCGGTTGCTTTTGTTCTTTTGAATTTGGGCCAGTCTCTGAGGTGTGAGATGGTATCTCATTGTGGTTTTGATCTGCATGTCCCTGATGATTAATGATGTAGAGCATTTTCTCATGTGCTTTTTTGCCATTCGGATTTCTTCTTTGAGAAAGTTTCTGTTCATTTCATTGCCCCATTTTTGGATGGGGTTGGATGTTTTCTTCTTGTGGAGTTTAACCAGTATTTTGTATATCCTGGATATCAACCCCTTGTCAGATGTGTATTCGGTGAATATCCTTTCCCATTCTGTAGACTGTCTTTGTATTTTGGTCACTGTTTCTTTGGAGGTGCAGAAGCTTCTTAGTTTAAGATAGTCCCAATTTCTAATTTTTTGAGAATCGTCCATACTGTTTTCCAGAAGGGCTGAACCAGTGGACATTCCCACCAACAGTGAAGGAGTGTCCCTTTCTCGCCACATCCACGCCAGCATCGGTTGCTTTTGTTCTTTTGAATTTGGTTGCCCACTTTCTTATGCCGGGCTGGGTCTGGGCACTGTGTTCAGCACGATTCGGGCTCCAGTGTCTGCTGCCACCAGCCTGGTCTTTGTTTTCACTTTGCTCCTCTCCATTCATCCACGCAGCAGCCGTGGGGAGTGTCCAGGCTCTGCCCACTGGCCACTCCAGTTGATCTTCCCCAAGAGCCCCACTCTGGAATCCTGGGCACTGACAGCCACAGAGGCCTTCTTTCCAGAGAGACTTCCCACCTCAGCACCATGGCCTCGGCCGCCCCAGATGCCTCCTTTCTTGTGACTCTCCTCAAGGCCAGGACCCTCCTTTCTCCCCTCCTACTCTCAAATCCCCCCTTCACCTGTGGTCCCTAGCCCTAGCCTGAAACTTTGGGGTCAGGACAGGAGACCCTCACAGCAGGGATAACCAAAATCCACCCCCCACACACATACAGTCACATACTCTCTCTCTCTCTCTGGCTCTCTCTCTCTGGCTCTCTCTCTCTCTCTCTCTCTCTCTCTCTTATACAGATCCAGTCTGGATCAAAGACGCAGGAAGACATGGGACTCTACCTCTGGAGGGCTGAGACCCTCATGCTCGTATGTCCCACTAGGTCCCTGACACATCCATAGAATAGACAGGGGTCATCACAGTGCTCCCATGGGATGGTGGGACTCACACTCACATGTGCATGCTCACAAACACATGCTCACACACACTCACACATACACACTCACACATACACTCATACACACATATTCTCTCACACACAAGCACAACACTCACAACTCACATACAGTCACAGACGCATGCTCACACATACTCTCATACACACTCATACACACTCACATACACTCATACTCTCTCTCAACACAAACACTCTCACACATTCACAGTCACACACGCATGCTCACACACATTCATGCTCACACACACATACACACTCATACACATACTCACATACGCACTCATATTCACACACACACTCACACTCACACTTGAGCTGGAGATCCTGTGGGTGTTTTCAGGCCAACTGGCTCCATGCAGGCAAAGGGAAGGGCGGCTCTCTTGTGGGAAAAGGACTGGGGGGTCCCTGAAGGGACTCCTGGGTTTCACGGCCATGGAGTCATAGAGGGGGTCTTGGACAACCCTCCTGCTC